GAGTGATCCCTGAGCTGCAGAGTCAGGAGTATGACCCCAAATCACAATGAAATATTAAAGCAGTGGAACAAGTTTGATGATCAGGGTTCCACAGATAGGTTTGGGTCAAGGCAGAGGTCATGAGTCCCATGAGACAGGGACAATGGTTTTGCACTAATTTGGAAAGAAAAACACATACAGGAAAAATGTAAGAAATATAAGTGAGCATCTCCCTGGACTGCACAAACTGATACGGATGCAGGTGATGAGACCTAATCCAGAGACAGCGCCAACCTAGGCACCGAAAAGCCCCGTTTCTCATGACCTCCAGACACTGCCTCATCCCAAAGGTCATCAGAATCATAATTCGAACAGTCATACATCTTCCATGGTAAAAATGTCATGTCGCTTGGAAATGATCTGAAGTAAATTGTTCTGAGCTTGTGCGGTGAGGGGTCGGAACCGAGTGAGGACTCCAGGCGTACGCTTTGATACAGGATTGGCAACTGCCCTGCTCTCCAGGCTCCTAATATGCCCCATTTCCTAATCACTGGGCTCAGGATTATTTCTGACTCAGCTAATTACCAAGCATGAGGGAGAGGGGAGAGATGGACCCCAGGGATGGACAAGGTGCAGACAAACCCTCCATCCCAAGGGACCCAGAACTTACGACACTGACATCTCGACCACAGGGAGACTTAACCTGAGCTCTGGGCTTTGGGGAAAGATAAACAGGGCCTGGCAGGGTCTGCCATACAGGAGACCGCTTGGAGCTGTGCTGGGCAGAGCCGGCGTGAGTACCCCCTGACTACCCAGGCTTGGGGCTTCTGTGGGTGACCGGAAAGAGCTGGAGAGGACTGATGAGGGCCAGGCCAGGAGAAAGGAGTCTGAGTTAGTCTGTCACTTGTGGGAGAGGAAGGTGCCGGACGCAGGGAGAGGACAGTTACCTCCCATCAGCCGGGCAGACATATCTGCTTCTCTCGTGCCTCTGTTCAGCAGAGGGTTGATGCATGAAGGCCCGAGCTGCACTTTCGCACGGGAGAGAGGATAAGGGCCTGGGCAGGGAGGCACGCAGAGTAGGAGGAACCCGAGTCCTTGTACTCTCTCTGCTGTGCGAGTCTCCTCTGGTCAGTGGGAAGTATAGGCTAGGCGGAGCGTGTGCTCTGCTAACACTCACAGTGAAGCATCCCAGAAGCAGCATAATGCACGTTTTCTTTAGCAAATATTACTACTGTCCCTCATTTTCTAAAGAGAACCAGACTTGACTGGATTTGCACAAAATGTATTTGGAAGATCCTTGAATGCTACACATGAGAAGCTTCTGAAAGTTCATCTTAAATCTATTAAATGAGAGACATCAGCAACCAGAGGCATTCCTCAGACGCAGGGGAATTCTGGCTTCCATTCCTGGCACTGCGTGGCCCCCAAATACTGTGAATAGCAAGCCCCCAACCCACTAAGCAATTCAGGGAGCCACCCCCCAATCAAAGCTATGCAACATCCTTCCTTCTAAACCCCTCAGAGGGTGCATGAATATGGAGCTTTCCCAATTTCAGTGTTCTAGTTTTTCTGTTTATTTTATTTTATTTTATTTTATTTTGCTTTTTGGGTCACACCTGGCGATGCACAGGGGTTACTCCTGGCTCTGCACTCAGGAGTCACTCCTGGCGGTGCTCAGGGGACCATATGGGATGCTGGGAATCGAACCCAAATCGGCCGCGTGCAAGGCAAACGTCCCACCCGCTGTGCTATCTCTCCAGCCCCTCTGTTTATTATTTTTAAGCGACATCAAATTATTTATTCCCAAATCTATTATGGTATTTCATAATATAGAGAGAGAGCTGGGTGAAAAAAATCAAATCACAAGCAGATAAATACAGAAATGCGAAAAGTGAAACTTTTCTATAATTTATTAGTCTCCATCTTTTTGTTTTTGGACTACTCCTGCCTGGGCCCAGGGCTTTCTCATGGCTCTGTACTTAGGGATCACTCCTGGTGGGCTCAGAGGGACCATATGTAGTGCCAGGATTGAACCCAGATCAGCCGTGGGTTTGGCAAGCATCCTACCCTCTGTGCTATCTCTCTGGGCCCAGTTTCTCACTCTTTAAGGAATGTCATTGTTAAATGAAAGGAGACTTTGAGGGTTAACTTGCCTATGAGATAAGGAATCACTAAAATTCCTCTTGAGTGTGCCAGCCAGGGTAGGTTAACATCTTCAAGTGTCCGGTTTTTACATCTATAAGGAAACACACCAGTCCAAATATCTTCCTAGATTTAAAAGTTTTCTAAAGGCTTCTCAAGTGTCCTCTGAAATTATGCAGTTTTAAAGACCCAAGTCTCATTGGAGAATTTATTATCTGTAAGCAGACACCATGCCAGGCAACTGAGACCTTAGAGAGGAGAGCGTCTCTTGAATGTTGCACCACTGGTGGAGGAAGGAACCAGGAAGCCCGGCAACAGAACCTAGAGGTCAGGGAAAGTCACCAGGCCTCAAAATTCTAAACTGACTTGAGAAAGATGAGGCAGAAAGTTCCCGTGGAAAAGGGACAGCTGTGAGCATCGGCAGCTGCGCCTCAGAAGCTAATGCAGTGTGAAAAGAGCTTGGAGAGGCCATGGGGGGGGGGGGGGGGTGGAAAAATGCATAAGTTCATGGCTAATACGTCAAGATGGAAATGGTTTGTAAGAAATGAGGCACAGGGGCTGAAGCGATAACACAGCAGGTAGGGCGTTTGCCTTGCATGCGGTTGACCCGGGTTCGATTCCCAGCATCCGATATGGTCCCCTGAGCACCGCCAGGAGTAATTCCTGAGTGCAGAGCCAGGAGGAACCCCTGTGCATCACCAGGTGTGACTCAAAAAGAAAAAGAAAAAAGAAAGAAATGAGGCACGAAGACAGACTGATTCAGGGATGAGAGAGAGAGACAGAGACAGAGACAGAGTGAGAGAGGGAGGGAGAAGGAGAGAAAGAGACAGAGAGAGATAGGGAGAGAGGGAGGGAGAGGAAGAGAGACAGACAGAGAGAGACAGAGGGACAGCGGGAGAGAGGAGAGGAGGAAAGTGCCTGCCATTAGAGGCAGGCTGGGGGGTGGCAGGGTGGCAGGAGAGAAACAGGGGTCCTTGGTGGTGGGAAATGGACACTGAGGGAGGGACGGATGTTGGATCCTTGTTTGACCAAAACCTGTAAGTGTATTTCATAAAGTAGTAAAGTAAAGTAAAGGCCCTCCCATTGATCATTGATTTGATCGAGAGGGCCCAGTAACGTCTCCATTGGAGACTTCGTTGTTACTGTGTCTGGCATATCGAATACGTCACGGGGAGCTTGCCAGGCTCTGCTGTGTGGGCGAGATACTCTCGGTAGCTTGCCGGGCTCTCCGAGAGGGGTGCGAGGAATCGAACTCGGGTCGGCCATGTTGGCTGCGTGCAAGGCAAACGCCCTACCGCTGTGCTATCGGCCTCGAGTGTATTTCATGGTGACTCAATTTGAACAATAAAAATTTTTAAAAATTTTTTTAAAAAGAGGTAAGGCACAAAGACAGATTGATTCAGGTGTGTGTGTGTGTGTGTGTGTGTGTGTGTGAGAGAGAGAGAGAGAGAGAGAGGAGACAGAGAAAGACAGACAGAGAAAGAGAGAGACAGAGAGACAGAGAACTGGGGTTCAGGCACTGGCCTTGCACACTCCCTATGGCACACTCAAGACTGCTGTGTGGCTCTGGAGAGGCCTGAGAAGGAAGAGGGAGGCTAGAGAACCCCCAGCACTTCACATCTTTGCTTTAAACCACTATCGCAGTTGGTTTAGCTAAGAATCTCCAGAAAGGGTGCCTGGGACCCCTCACAGCCTCCCAGAAAAAAGGAAGGAAGGAAGGAAGGAAGGAAGGAAGGAAGGAAGGAAGGAAGGAAGGAAGGAAGGAAGGAAGGGAGGGAGGGAAGGAGGGAGGGAGGGAGGAAGAAAGAGAGAGAAAGAAAGAAAGAAAGAAAGAAAGAAAGAAAGAAAGAAAGAAAGAAAGAAAGAAAGAGAGAAAGAAAGAGAGAGAGGAAGGAAGGAAGGAAGGAAGGAAGGAAGGAAGGAAGGAAGGAAGGAAGAGAGAAAGACAGAAAGAGAGAAAGAAAAGAAAAAGAAAAGCCAGAAGCCAGGCTGTTGTAAGGGTTTGTTCTGATGAAAACGTTGAAGAAACTCCTGAAAGTAGGTGTGGAAACAGTGCGATACTTATGGGGTTCTGTGCCTGAGGAGGGGGGAGCACTTTAGATTCAGGAAATCGCTAGATGTTCCCAAAGTGAAAAGACAGGATCTGATTGGCCCACGGAATGCAAGTCGGCTACCGGCCCTTTCTGAGAATTGCCCAGGAGTGTTCCCGAGAAGTGGAGAGTGAGCAGGACAGGCAGCGGGGAAAACTTATCTGCAGTCTTTATTCACACTCACGCTCACTACACTTCAGCCCTGCTGCCCGTGAGGCACCTGGACGATGTCACTGTACTCCGAACTCCTTTGTCAGGCTGCTCTCAGTTAGTCAGGTCCATATCCTTCATTGTCCCTGTATTTTATCCATCTGGGGGTTGGGTGTACAGTGGTAGGTTCCCATGAGCTGTGAACCAACTCATGTGAACCAGTTGGTTCAACACAATCTCCTGAGTGAGGTCGATTCCCGGTCTGAGCAGCGGGAGAGAGGACGGCTTCTCCCAACATGACTGTGTTTTGCTGAGCTGGTCTGAGAAATACAATACCCCGTAATTTTTTGATGAAATAAATACAGAAGGGCCTCCTGGTAAACCGGAGGATGGCCTAGTGTGGGGGCTGTGGGAAAGGAGATGGGAGAGGGAGGCTGTTAAATTGTAGTGATTTCCGTGTCCTCAGGCAAAGGAAATCAGATAATTAGCTCCAAGACAGAATCAAGCGCATTTACGTATTTCAGAATGAAAACAATTTACTCTGCAGCATAAAAAAAAAAAGCTCCCCCCCCAAAAAAAAAGCTAAATGACATCATTTTTCACTTACTTGTGTTTCTGAAGTTTTTTCTAGCTCTCTTTATGAAGATAATTTGGGGTGAGATTGCCCAGGGAATCCTCTTTCTTTCTCTGCTTGGACATGGAATTGTCGCCAACGTGCTTGTATTTGTAGGACATTTAAGTACGTTAGTTAAGGGTCCTGAGAGAAAACCCGTAGACCTTCTCATCATCCATCTGGTTTTTGCAAATGCAATCATTATTTGTACCAAAGGAAGCAATGACCTAGCCACCATCTTTCATCTGGGGGATTTCCTAGGGGATCTTGGGTGCAAACTCGTGCTGTATCTGGTCCGAGTGGCACGAGGCCTTTCCATCTGCACCACCTGTCTGCTCTCCGTGCTCCAGGCCATCACCCTCGGTCCCAGGAGCGCCTCCTGGCAAAAGCTCAAACCGCGAACCCCACGGCAAATGCTCCCCTACCTCCTCCTGATCTGGGTCATTAATTTCCTCATAAGCTCCAACTTGCTCTTCTTGATGACGTCAGCCTATAGCATGAACACATCTGGAATCAGTCCACTCAGTGGACATTGCCACATGCAAGAAACTGGGCCGGTAATGCAATGGCTCTTCGTGGCCCTCATGGCTCTGCGGGACATTTTCTTCCAGAGCCTCATGGGCTGGAGCAGTGGGTACATGGCTGTCCGTCTGTATAAGCATCATCAACGCGCCCTTTCCCTTCGGAAGGCCAGGCTGCAAGGAAACCTCAGCCGGGAGTTGAGAGCCGCTCACAGTATCCTCGTTCTCATGACCTGTTTCCTTTTCTTTTACTGGTTAGATTTTCTTTTCTCTTTTTTCATTGCCTCCTCCTTGACCGTCAATCCTGTCATTTTGACTATTAAAATGTTTCTAACAATTGGCTATGCTAGTCTCAGCCCCTTGGTGTTGATCAGCAGGAATGCTTGTGTGGCTAAGGTCTGAAGAGATCACTGAGAAGTGAAAACGTTTCTTGGAGGACTGATTTCTATGGGCACTAAAGAATAGTGGATTTAGTAATACATATAAGATATATGTATCAGCTTTTACTGTTAATAAAAGCTTTTAAAAATGAACTCAGTTTTAATTTTTCAGGAGAGTCCTCATACTTGAGGAATAGTCCTCATACTATTCTAAGAATTTTCTTTTTTTTTAATTTTTAATTAATTTTTTATTTTATAAGGTTGTTCACAATAATTTATTACGTTCAACATTCTAACACCAAACTCATTACTATTACACCTTACCACCACCATTATTTACAATTTTACCACCATCACCCAACTCTGCCCCCAAAGCAGATCCTAAATCATTTACTTTGCATTATTTGTTAAGAGCAATCCGCTAAAAATGATTCCAAAAATTCTCTTTAAAATATATGAAGGGGCTGGAGCGATAGCACAGCGGAGAGGGCGTTTGCTTTGCACGCAGCCGACCGGGTTTTGATTCCCAGCATCATGAAGATAATTGGTGCCCCTTGCACCGCCAGGAGTAATTCCTGATTGCATGAGCCAGGAGTAACCCCTGTGCATCACTGGGTGTGACCCAAAAACAAAAACAAAAACAAAAAAAAAGGAGAGAAAAGTATTTGAAGACTGTTGTATCTCCCCTTGGAGCCATCCTTGTATAAGAGATTACTAACATGTTAGTACAGTTTGAGCCTTGTGTGCATATATATATGCACACATTATATGCACACAATATATATATATATATATATATATATATATATATATATGCCTGGCTGTCCTCGCCGGGGCCCCTTGGAGGGGAGCGGGTTGAGTTTCCCTCCCCGCCCCGACCAGGGTTCCGTCAGCCGAAGACCTCCAGGACCAGCCACCACCATGCTGAGACCACTCTCCACACGCAGACGTGGGGGCAGGAGACTCTGTGCTTTTCTCTTCCGACATCTCACACTCTACTCCATGGAGGTGCCAAGAGTAGCACACCACATTGGATAGAGAAGAAAGTAGAGGAAAACCGATCTCCATCCAAAAAAACAAATTAATATATATAAAATATATATATATATGCACACAAGGCTCAAACTGTACTAACATGTTAGTAATCTCTTATACAAGGATGGCTCCAAGGTGAGATACAACAGTCTTCATATACTTTGAAGAGTATGAGATGTCACTCGGGCAGGTGTGGAAGCACCTCTGCAGCTTGTTGATCTCTTTCAGGATTTATTTGTGAGTCCTAAGGATTTCCTTTTTTGTGGTTGTTTTTTTAATTTTTTTATTAAGCCACCTTGAAATACAGTTACAAAGCTTTCGTGTTTGATATTCAGCTATACAATGATCCATCACCCATCCCTTCACCAGTGCAAAGTTTCCACCACCAATATCCCCATTATCCATCCCCTCCACTTCCAGCCCAGTCCTTACCCTGCCTCTACGGCAGACAATTGCTCAGAATCTCTCTCTCTCTCTCTCTCTCTCTCTCTCTCTCTCTCTCTCTCTCGTTGGGCATTATATTTTGCTCGAATATTCCCACCATCATTCAAGCCTGTCTTCCAGGGGCAGATGCTAGATCATTTATTTTCCAGTGCTCACTTTGCATATCAAGAAAGGTGGCGCATTCCATCTGGAGAAGGCAGGGAGACTGCACTAGCTCCATCAGGAGCATCCCAGTGATATGGGCTCAGTATGGGGCCCGGAGAATTCTCTGGTGTTGTGGTGCCCGCCGGGACTCTTCATTGCTGTGCACGGAAAGATGGCACCGGGGACAGTTGAGGTCCTAAGGATTTTCGTGAGCTCTAGGAAATGATTAAGAAATAATCTTTCCAGCATGTCTTTCCATTCTCCCTACTCTGTGTCTTGTGTGCTTGCTTTGCCAATTCTTCTCCTACTTATTTACTTGGTTTTTTTAAATGAACAAAGGAAGGAGAGAAGTAGCAAGGTAAAAAAAATCTCAGAGCCAGATAGTACAAGGGGTCAGTCACATGCCTTGCATGTGGTCAGTCCAGTTCCCTGCATGTCCCCACAGGCACCACCAGGAGTAATCCCTGAGTATGGAGCCAGGATCAAGACCTGAGCACTGCCTGGAGCTCCCCTCTCCCCCACAAAGGGTAAAAAAAACAGTACTCTTTCTTTCTGTCTCTCTCACAAAACATTTACAGAAATCTTCACACTATGTGAATGGGTGGGCTTATCAGACCACGTGGCAGCCTCTGATGCACTATTGACTGAGGAATGTTCTTATTTCCAGCAAAAACACATTCCCACCATCTACGTATTTTTGTAAAGATTGTAAGGCTAGTGACGCTGGATTCCATGGGATCAGTCCTTTCAGAAAGGAGACGCTGAGAGAAGAATCAAGTGTGATCATCTGTGTGCTGGAAGTAGATAAAGGACCAAACATGACAACCTCTCAGTATCTGTATTGCCAACCATTATGCCCAAAAGTAGAGAGACAGTATAGAGGATATCGCCTGCCATGGAGGCAGGGGGAGGGTGGGAAAGTGGGGGTATACTGGGTGGTAGAGAATGTGCACTGGTGGAGGGATTGGTGCTCGATCATTGTATGACTGAAACTCAAACATGAGAGCATGTAACTGTATCTCACGGTGATTCAATTAAAAAAAATGTGATCATCTTTCCCCCACATGCTCCTACAATACATCAATCTGTCTTTAGGAGTTCCCCTTACAGTGATTGATCAATAGGTTCACCACCAAAATTCTAGTGCCATTCCCACTGTCAAATTGATTCTTCTCTCCCCTTTCATAGTTATTTTTCACTATCCAGGTTATCCAGATTTCTAACAAGGTGATTGCAGGTAGTACTGACTAATATCACTGCATCACTGTATGCAGCTACCTTGGAACCCGCAGAATTGCCAGAAACTAGCTCCCCAATCTGTTCTGTCTAGTGTTTCCCGGGACATTACTAATAATTGCCACAGAGTTATCCAACTCCCGCCCCCTCCCTTCCCCACAAATTCATTAGGACACTAGAAGACTTTGTTGTCTCTTTCATTAAAGCCTGAAACTGTGTCATTCTGAAACTCCCTGGCAGGCATTTCCTATGTCAGCTGCTTGGTATAATCCCCTCAGCGACCTCACAATTCCGGGATGACCCTCAGAGGCATGTAAATAAACTTTTCTCTGTTTTCTCTCCCAGACAGCCAAGTTGATGAGTAACAAACAACTAAACATTCAATTCCTCTGCTCCTGAAATCTCACTATCCACTTTTCCAAAAAAGTATTTGGATTCTCCAGAAATATTTGCTGCTTCTGAAAGCCATACCAAGCCTGCTCTTTGTAAGAGGTTCAGTTACAATATATGCTTTCTGGTGGCTGGTTAAAGAAACTTTGGTACATTTACACAATGGAGTACTATGTAGCTGTTAGAAAAGATGAAGTTATGAAATTTACATACAAGTGGTACTACATGGAAAGTATCATGTTAAGCGAAATGTCAGAAAGAGCGGGATAGACACAGAAAGATTGCATTCATCTGGGAAACAGAAAGTAACAAAATAGGAGACTAATACCCAAGAATGGCTGAGATTAGTACCAGGAATTTTGCTCCATGACTTGGAGGCCAGCCACACATGCTAGGGGAAAAGGAAGCTCAGATAGAGAAGAGAGCACCAAATAAAGGGTGTTGTGAGGATCCTCCCAGGGTGGGAGAAGCATGCTGAAAGTGGACTATTGACCAAACATGATTGCCACTCAATGCCTCTCTTGCAAAACACAGTACCCAAAAGAAGAGAGAGAGAACAAGGGGGAATTTCTTGCCACAGAGGTAGGGTGGGGGGGATGGGGGGTGGGAGGGATGCTGGGACCCGTGGTGGTGGAGGATGGGCACTGGTGGAGGGATGGGTACTTGATCATTGTATAACTGAAACCCAAGCACAAAAATTTATAAGTCTATAACTGTACCTCATGGTGTTTCACTAATAAATATGTATCACTTAATCACTTAATCACTTAATCCCCGTTATTCATCGATTTATTCGAGCGGGTGCCAGTAACGTCTCCATTCATCCCGGTTGCGTGCTAGCGTAGCCCAATGGTATCTGTTCGTTCTAGGAACATGCAGAGCCTCAAACCGATCATTCAGGGTCTTGACGAAGAAGTCTGACCATCTTATAGGTGGGCGTCCACGTGATCTTTTGATGTCTCGTGGAATCCAATCAGTAATGGCTCTAGTCCAGCGGTTGTCTGTAAACCTCATTACGTGTCCAGCCCATCTGATTTTTGATGTCTTGGCAAATGAGACAGCGTCCCTGATTCTTGAGCGTTGACGAAGATCAGAACTCCGGATTTTATCTCTCATTTGAGTGAATCGTGATATTCCAAGCATAGTTCTTTCGATTCCTCTTTGAGAGACCCGTATAGTGTTCTCATCCTGTTTTCGTAGGGTCCAGGTCTCTGAGGCATATATATATATGCTTTCTGGGAGTTTGTTGAATTAATTTTCTGCTTGAAACAGATATGCGTTAGCATCTAGTACATAGAAAAATAGTTACTTTAACACCAGTATTCGGATTTTCACATTAAAAATCACCCATACATATAAGGTTGTTAAATATAACTTTAAAACGAAGACCTAACTCTTCCTCTCATGTGCCATGCTGCTTGATGAGACTTTTTTTTTTTCCTCCATGCTCAAAAGTGGACCGTCTGGGGACCTCCACTTAGAATTCTTGGCCTGAGATCAGGTTTTGAAAAGGTTCGCGTCCATAGACCGTAGAACAGTGCCATCTAGTGGCCACCCAGTGGAGGCACGCCCCTCCAGAGCATAATCTTTGCCGAAAATCACTGAAGATTTAGTGAGTGAATGGAAAGTGTCTAACTCACTGTCTTTATTAACTATGCACAGTTTCTCAGGACCTTTACGGATCATACCCTCCTCCTGGACTGTGTTGGAATGGTACTGAAAAAGCAAATTCCGTTATAGTTCAGCCTAAATTTATTCACCAAAAATTTTTGC